AATCCTCTACCAGCTGTTTTTACACAGCTAACTAAGAGGCAAAGTCACGGCTCTGCCTAGGAACATTTCCTCAACATCAGCTGAGCCAAAATTTAAGCAGGACTTCTAGAGATAATGCTTTTAAAGATGTCACAGGCAAGACAGAGTAAATGACTACCTGCAGTGGATCTGGATATCGGGATTTGTTTAAGAACCAATGAGATGAGAGCTTTTGCAACTACTTGATTATCTTTCACACCTTCCATCCATACCTTCCATCCCTGCAGGGAGGTGGCTGCTGGCCTGGGATGTTAGGGCAGAAAGTTGGGTCCTTCATTGCTGCCTGGCTGCTCACAGCTACCTGTCTCAGGCATCACCAGCCAGTGTCCCTGGTGCCTCCCCTGGCTTCCATCTCCCCACAGCTCCCTGATCTCCAGCATCTCCCCCACTTTCAGGATCTTTCCTTCAGGCAGGAACTTCACCTTCTTCTTTTTGGTCCCCCTTCTTTTTTCCAAGACCACTTCCTTCCTGCACACCTTATTTTCTGGCACACCAAGACTTGGTTTTCCCCCAGTGTAGCTTCCATGCATAAGCACAAAGTGCGAGCAGCCTCTTAACTGGTGGTTCTGGCTCATGTGTCTTCAGTAACTGGAGGACTCTGGACATGCCACTTTGATTTTGTGCAGGAGTTTACAATCAGAGTCTACCAATTACAGGGAGCAAGCAGCAGGCTTCTGCTTGAGAGCTCAAATGTTCAAATTTGGACTCCACCACCCCTCCTCCTCCCTCATCCAACTACCTGCTACCTATTAGTATTCATGATTTAAGCATTTTTTTTTGCCTACAAGAGTATTTAATATTAGCCAAATTCCTCTTCCAGTGAAGACAATGAGATTAATTTTACTTGTTTCAGTAATTTTCAGTAATATCATTTTCTAAAGGCTGATTATTTGTTGCACACAAACATATTTTTCTGAAGTGGTACAACCAATCCATTACAGTTCTTTGCCCATTGGAATCAATTATTCATGTGTGAATAAAACTTTTCCAAAAACATTGTTAGCACAAACTGCTCCAGAGGAAGTGTTTCTTGTGCTGATTAAAGGTTCTGTATGTGCTATAAACCTCACACTCCTTAATAGAATTAAGGAGCTAAATGCACTTTCAAGCTCTGTTTGAACTGTTGGAGGGAATCATGGAACAATAAAAATATCTGACACTTCATGTTAGCTCTTGCTCTGTATTAATATTATGTATTAGAACAATTTTTATGTAGCCAATTCATTTTATTTAAGTACATTAATAAGCTAACTGGTCAAGGAACTAGAAACTAGAATACAGCACCACGTCCACCTCGATTGTTATTAGTTCAAACCACAGGCAAAAGCTAATCAGCATATGTACCTAATTTTAGGCATGTTTGATTGAACCATTTTTCAGACAAACATTTTAACATGGACACACATATGGCCCAAATATATTGCTTGACTTGTTCAATGCTTACAAGACTAAATTCTTAGTAGGTGAGAGCCTGGGAACTCTGGGAAAATACTTTATTAATTGTATCCATTACCAACTGCATGCCAATGAAGTGGAAGATGGAAGTTGTACAACTGATCACATAGGTGTCCTATGTGAAATAAAAAAGTTCAAAATGTAATTTAAAATGTTATCTTCACCATTTTCCTCTTCTAGTACCTCCCTCTCCCCAATCATATTTTGAAGGCAGAATGGCATCACAAAGAACAAGAGACCATCTCTCCAGAAGTCTTTCATCAAGCTGGTAAACCTGAAAGACTTGTTTATGCAGTTTTTGCAACATTTTATCAGTTTACAAAAATTTACCAGAAAGAAACTAGATTTGTAGAAAGATTATTTCACTGATAAAATTTTACACAACGTTTATCTAAGAAAGTGACACCTGTCTAAGAAAGTGGTAAAACCCTGGCTGTTCATAATGTGGAATTTTCAGTGGGTTCTGTAATTGGGCAAGATTTGCCATATGTTGCTAGGAACAGAAAAAGACGCATCCCTAGTACAAAATCCAGACTTATTTGAAGAAAAGATCAAAATATTTCACTATGAATGAAAAAAAAATAATTTTTGTAAAATCCTTTTTTTTTTTTTCTTTTTTTTTTTTCCCCTGGGGACTCTAAACAGTATTTTTCATTTGCCTGGGGGGTTTGACTTCAGCCTGAAGCAGATAGCTGGCATAGATTACTTCAGACAAAATTATTAGTTTTGGAAGACTTGCAGCCTACCTGAAACACAGTTTTACTTGAAAAGTAATGATCAAACTTGGTAATAGACTTTGCTGTCAGCCTTGCCCATAATTTCTAAACTGAGACTCCAGCAGGTATTAAAACTTTGACAGTGAAGGCACAAGGATATATGCAACTTTAAAGGTTATTCCCCATGCAATATGTGCAGCATACGTAAGTCTTTCCCTGATGCAGAAAATTTACCTTAAAAGGAAATAAATACTGGTATTGCTTCTTGTCAGTGCTAACAAGTCAAGAAAATTGCAACAAGACTCAGGCTCATGTGAGATTGATTTCTAGTGTCCAGCTTATAAATGTAGAGAAGAATTCTTCACAAAGATTGTAAAAGCAAAGCTGAGGTCTTTGGACATATAAGTCCTGATGTTTTCTGAGGAGCTGTTAAATTACTATTTCAGCTTTAGACTAAGGCTCCCAAGAGAAGAAGGTTGCTAACAGATTTTTTTTTTTAATGCCCCCTCTACCCTCAAAGAGACAAAACAGCAGTAAACTCCAGTTGTATCTACCACAGTAACCTTGCATATATATTCTCCAGTGTGCTGAGGTGCTCTGTGTTAAATGCTCTTTACTGCTATGTCACAGGAGCATTTCTACATCTTTAGGCCCCTAGCAGGCAAGAGGTCAGAACTCTCTGGGACTGCAGCCCAGGATAAAATACTGCAGAGACCAGCTGCGTCTCTAGAGTAACTGCTGCACCAGCCAAGTGGGTGCTCCTGTATGCACCATGCAGTGTGCTGGCCTAAATCTATGCAAAGGTTCAGTACAGAGGAAGCAATAGACACACACATAGAAACTACAGGGGAAGGCATGTGGAGAGATATGACAATCAGGCACCATTAAAATCTTTAAGGTCCCTTCCAGCCCAAACTTTTCTGTGATTCTCTGATTTACGAACTTGTAACTCTGGGGTAAGAATTTGATACTCATATCTGATGTTAACAAGAGCCAAGCTTCTAATTTCCTTAGGGTCTTGTGAAACCACAAAGTACATTTCTCAACTAACTGAAACCAGATTCTCTCTGACTGTAACTCAGAGAGATTTCTTTCTGCTCTGTACAAATATTCTTCTGGGCTTCATCTTTTCACTACATATAAAAATATACTATTATATGACAATAAGATGGAAAAAAACCCTCCAAATGCATGCAGAAGATAGTGACAAAATGAAGAGTGAGGAATTACATTTGAAACACTGGCCCACAAAGGATCATAGAATCATAGAATGGCATCAAAGCACTGGGACCATAGTTTAACGTAGATATACTGTCAGAGTTAAGATTTGCTTCAGTATGAGAAGACCAAGTCTATAAGAAATTGTAGCACTTGTGATGAAGGTCATAAACACAACCATTAAATGTAATAATAAGATAATCTCTGTGGTAGATGGGCTTTTCTCCACATTTATTATTTTCACTGGTACTCAAAACTACAATTAGAAAAGGCTTCGAAGCTAAAACAGAGCACGAACTATTTATAAGCTAAATAGTTCTGTGAAGAGGTCTTTTGCTTATGACATATGAACAGTTTAGCTCATGAGGCACGGATAATGTATAAACATTTAATTTCTAAACTATACAAAAGCCCAAACTAAACATTCTTACTCTGACTGAAAACACAACATCCTCTTAGCCAAAACTTTCACTGGTTTGCTAACATCATCCTCTTTTCTAGGACTTTTCCAGATCCCTTTGTAAACATCCAAAAAGTTACCTTTGAAATAAATTAACACACAGAGGAACAGCATAAATATATTTACTTCACTCTTTCTTTACTAAGATGATTTATTTGTTTATGTTCAGACTTTCAGCCTCTTAGCTCAAAACAAACCTTAAAAACTTCAACAAAACCAACACACACCTTCTTCTTCACAAAATCATTAGAACTTATGTTCAGAATTATCCATGGGTGTCTGAGATTCTGCTCAGACTTAGGAAGTAAGCTTTTTTTACTGCAACTAACAACTACCTAGGACTGCTTCTTTTTCCACTCTGTCATGCGTTTCAGTTACTGAGATCTAAAAGCACAGGTTCTACTCCTTAAATATGACCAAGAGCAACCTCACACAGTCAGTGGTACACAGCAAAAATGAACACGACAGCCGTTAATAATCCTGAGACTGTTGTGGAAAGATAAAAGCTACAGATACGTACAAGAAGGCAAATAAACTGCATTACTGATAAATTACTTATTCAGAATGGTTGTAGATTGTAGGGAATCCTCAGCACTGGTTGTTGGCAAAGAGGTCTTAGTGTACATCCTTCAGCTCTTGTATGAGGAATCAAAATATGGAATTCTCTCTAATATGCACAACCTTTTGGCACCCATAAATCTCTCCCTCCCCGAAGGTGGTGGGTATTTCAGTATCAATACCCACTATCCATTTAGAAGTCTTTACAAATTTTTGCTTTTCCTTATTTAGATAGCAGATTAGAAGGACTAGGGCATGCTCACAACATTACCATGCAGTTTCCATAGCCGTTTGTTTTCCGACAGGTTTTATCACTGTTTGTTGGGGTTTTTTTTATTTATTTATTTTTATAACTGTTGAGGGTAGCTATTCCAATGAAAAGAAGTAAAATTTATAGTAATATACTTCTGCCAACAAAGAAGAGTCACCAAAACTGTGTCAGCACAGCCAGCAAACTCTCAGGAAAGCAAGCTATCCATCTCCACTTGCTGGCCTCAAAACACTACTTTTTTTCCTCACTATACCCTCAAAGGTTACTTTTTCAATTAAATTACCTGTCCCAATGATCTCCAGTCCAGGCTGGCACTTCCAATGTACACATGCTGTTTATCAACAATCCAGAAAGATGACTGAAGCCGGCCTTCATTGTACGCTGACATGTTCATATACAACACTTCAGCACCTAGAGATTTAAGGATAAAATCATAAATAGTATTGTTTAAAATAACATCATTTACATTACTAAAGAAAGAAACAGCTTCCCATTTCAGGGCCTCAGCTTCCAAAACCAGCGATGGACATAATTAAACATACCATTAAGGTTTAAAATCAAAGACAAACAGTGTTACTGTCCCACTATTTAATACCCTAATTAACATATATTCCAGAAAAGCAGATACAGGGAACATTGCCATGCATTATACTGTTTACTTAATTTTCTTCCATTTTAGAACCAAACCATTGCTGGTTTTTGTCTTCCAGCACGTGAAGTTCCTAAAACCAGTTTATTTTTAAAGGGCTATTCTGTAACTCAAACCTGATACATATGATAATAATGCCCTTTAAAATACAATCCCAGTTACAACCCCTTCCTGAAAAGCAGGGTTTCCTGCTCCTTTGCCCTGTGTGATGGTTTGAGCAGGCAGCCTACAGCAGGCTGTCTCATGGGACAGACCCAGACAAGAGGAACACGGGGAGAACTCAGGAGTGAGGAAATATGCAAAGGCCTAAAGTATGATGAAACTGCTCTTAATCCTGCTAACCTGTGACATTCAGCCTACCACTTGGAATGGCTCAGTTTTAATAAGGATTATAGGGCACTTAAATCAAAGGAGCATGTTGGCTTCATCACGTCAGTAGGAATGTGTGAATTGGCCCCATCAGTCTGTTTGCAGGACTGAATCCAAATTCTACTTAATATTAGGGATTTCTCACATCATTATTGTTCTTTCAGTGCTCCAGTGTTTGTAAGATTAGGTGATTAATCTGAATTAATTATTGATGAGGGTAATTTGAAGTAACCCACTCATCTTCACATTTGAGTCATGACAGTAACTGGGGAAGAGGAGTGGCAGTAAACAGCAGCCTGGAGGGCAGTAATGGTACCAGCCATGTCCCATTAACCATTCATGGGATCTTCAGCACCATAAACTCCAGTAATAGTTGGATATGAGTCACAATTTCAAAAGAATTACAGGATACCTATAGAACTAAAATACATTTCTTTTCATCTAACTTCCTATTTCTGACCTCCTAAGAAACACTTGACTTGCAATTTTAAGCAACAGTTACCAGTGCTAAATATTTCTTTTTTTATTACAAAAACTGTAATTCTCACTTGAATGAATGAATCTAGAATTCAGACATGAAGGAAAGAAGAAAAATCAGGTAAGGTGCCACTTTTCATGAAGCACCAAACACGCAACATGGGATTTTGAGCAAATTACAGAATTGGGTTCATTGTACAATTACATTTGCTGCAACCCAGTTACCTTTCCAATTTTTTTAAGGTATCACTCATCCATATTAATCTATGCTTAGAAACAAAGGTATTTTCCAGTTTTCCTTGGAACAGTTTGCTGCTGACTTTCAACTCAGGCATTAATGAGCAGAACTGTGCTAATTAATGAGATAATGTGTGTGAAATGGAAAAGAAACAGAAACCCACTATAGGAGGTGTTGAACGGTTTAAATTGTTTTCTGATGAATAAACAAAACAAAAGCAACTCCCCCCTACTCGATAAGGTAAACAGTTCTGTAGGGTGCTAAACTTCTAGCTGCTTATCTGAAAACTGTATGAATTTAACACCCACAACACACCTACATCAAATAGGTTAGAAATGAGATATTGGGATTTTTGTATAGGAAAGGTAAAATAGTCGGAAGCAACAATGAGCTTCCTTCTCATAACTGAGAGCCTAAAACAAACACAGTTGAAAAACATGTTTGAAATATCCAATGCTGATAGCAGTGCAGCAGATACTACTACTACACTTACCATTAAAATCAAAACCTGGAACCCAAGTTCTTTTCCTTCTGGAACAGCCAACTTGTAAGGCTGAGGAAACAGTATCTCCAAGTTAATTAAAAAAAAAAAAAAAGTCACGTGTTGAAAGCAGCAGCTGCTGTGCAGCCTGTTAATGAGCCCTTAACTTTTGATGAAAGGAAACATGCATCAGTATTGATAATTGCCTCTGTTCTAGAAGCCCTGGAGATGTTTTGTTAAAATAGGCTTATCAGGCCTTCAACACAATCCATCATGCCTAGTGTGGTCCAGGCCCCATGAGGAAATTAAATTGGACTGATCAATATGTGAAGCCATAACAGAACTCTTTTTCATGCTGCAGTCTCAATTACACAAAGCTGTGGGTCTACTGAGTTCAACCAGAAGGCACAATTTGTAGGCTTGATTGCTAATATAGATGCCCAGACTCTTAAAAATTAAATCTAACAGTTTTATTTCACTGAAGATTAAACTGCAGTGTAAGATCTTAGAGAAAACCAGAGCTGTCATTCATACACTCAGGTGCATTTGCCTGTCCCATAAACTGCATTGTGAAGGCTGGGTCAGATTGCCCTCTTCCTGCAGGAAAAAAGACCACTGCAGGGATAAAAGCATGCTTTAAGTAACAGACATTTCCCCGAGTACTTTTGCTTGTAGGTGGGAAAGTTTTGACATCTGTAAAAGGGAGATGACAGATGCAGTCTGGGATGCACAGAGGGGACCTTGCCCTTGAGATCCTGGACCTTCTCCATGTGATGGGAACACAGCCCCTGAGAGGTGCCAGGCTGCCACTCAGCCTCTTGCTCTGTCTTCATAATGGAGGAAGAATTCAGAAGACAATAGTAGCATTGCAAAAAGACTGACTTTTCATTCATTTCCCCAAGAAATCCAACGTCCAAAGGAATCCCAAAGCAGAAGGATGGCACAAGCAAGTGCCATTCACCATTTCTAGCCTTGCAACATCCCGTTTGGTCTACCTGCCTTTTCCCAGGCACTCCACTAGCAATGCCATGAAAGCCACAGGGCAAGCTTGACTTCAAGAACAGAAGCTTAAGGGTAAGACCTTTTCTACATATTTGAGTCAAGACACTTTAATCAGTTAGCAGAAGGCTTTACACATATAAGCTCTATTATGAAAATTGCATGTCATGGAGAGGCGAATCTTGGCGCAGCTGTGTTGCAGCATATGCTAGCTGTGGATTTTGCTGCAGCTCAAGCAAGGTCAACAGGTAGCTGCACAAACTGGGACACTTCCTCACGGGAGGCTGCAGGAGGCCAGGGCTCACAGGGCTGCCACTCAGCCTCCAGATCCAGGTTTATGCAACAGTCTGGAGAAGGTGCACCAGGAGGCTTTGGATCCAACGCCTGCGAGCAGTCTAGGATATTACTAGGTTGTCCTGGTACAGAGGCAATGTCACTGAGCCAAATCACCTCTCTGGTGAATACGTTAAATCATTTTTGTAAAGACGACCCAGAAAGAGCAACTGTTAAGGCTGCTATTATCACAGCTGCCTTGAAAGCAAACATGCAAATTCTGCCTGCAACAGTTTTCAACAGCACCAGTTACAGACTAAACTCACTCTGGAGTTAGCAAACATAACGCCCAAGAAACAGAAGCTGCATTTGCTTGTACCAGGGCTAAAATTGGCCTCCTATCTTCACAACTTTCCTACTTTCACTATAGTGTTTTTAAAACCAGAGAGAAAGAAAAGTGGGAAAGGGAAGGATTTAAGGATTGAGAGGAGAGCTGGAGAGAGATGTCTGGGAAGTTGCAGCAACAGTGACGGGCAATTCACAATGAGCAGAGTAATGATGAGAAAATCACCAAGAGCCCTGACCTCACTAGCCCTGACAGCAGAAAAAGATGCTGCAGCAGAAATAGGATGGCGAGAAATGGGGATATATGATCTGATGGCACATGTTGGGACTGTGCATCATACAGAGCCCTGGGAGAAAGGGTCATGGAGCCAGGCTGGGCTCTGCTACCCCCTGCTAGGAACCGGAGAGTTGTAAAGGTGGAAAAGATGAACAGGGGCTTTGAATGCCTCTCCTTCCCTCCTGTGGGAAAACAGAGCTTGTCAAGCACAGGCTTCAGAGGCATAGCCGGCGATGGAAGGGGGAGCACATTGGGGTGGGGGGAGCTACATGGAGCTGTTGATAGGATGGGGGAGCGGGGAGGCTGTAGAGGGATTGCAAAGGAGAAGGGAGAGCAGGATGCAAAGAAGCACTGGGATATGAAATGAGTTTGGACAGTGAAAGCAACACTTCTTATGGCTCTCTTGTATGTTTGTGGTTTGAACCTGAGAAATGGTCCTGCACCACATCCAATCCACTGTGCATTCCAGCCACCGTTCCCCACATCACCACCAAACTGGCCGCAGTAGGAACAGCTGCCCTCCTCCACTTATCCCATCCTTGACAGTCCTTCCCTCTGCTCATCACCATGCCCATACCCGTTTGCTCACGACACTGTTTTTTTCCCCTCTCCTGATTTTGTGTATTCCCAAGTGAATACTCCAAGTAGGGAGATGTAGGAAAAGGAGTCTGAGAATGTGAGCCACGGCCTCTTCGTTTCACTCCACTGCTGACAGTCACTTGGCACACAAAGATACACGTTTCGGTCTACACCTTTTGGAGGGTGGCCTCAAGCCAGAGTCAAGAGCAGACTTAACTAGTCCATACCATGAACCCTAGAGCTCACAAGCATATGCACAGTTGAGCAGATCTGTGAGGTTACCACATGGGTGGGAGGCAGCACAGGGAGCACTTGTGCCATAGAGCTACTGTGCTCTTTCAGCTAAACTGAGTTTTCAGGGCAGTATAGATGCAGTTAATATCATGTGCTAACTCAGAAGGATCAACAAATGATCCTTTATTGCCCCTAGGTCTCAAACTGATTTTTTAAAATACAATTTGCTCACTGGGATGTGGATGTGTACACATAATAGATATATAAAGCAAATGTCTCCTTCCCTTTGCAATAGACATTTTCATTTTATTTCTTTGCTTTCAATTACAAGTCTTAGCACAAAGTATGCCTATGAATAAACATAATTTTTATTCTACTGAGACAAAAATCCAGAGTTTTCCACACCCTGCTCACAAGGGACAGAGCAGCTGCCTCATAGTGGGCAGACACAAGTGATCCTGGCAGAGGATCACCTCCCCAGGAATTTTCA